AAGTGGGCTACCTAGCTCAGCCTTCCTACTGGGCACTGCTATAAGGAAGGTTAAAAAATAGAAAAAGGGAAGAAAAAAAGGTGGGGAGTAGAATTGAGGAGGGAGAGGAGGGGAGCTGATGCACAGATGAGAAATCATATTATGAGCAAACAGAGAAATCGTCTGACTATCACCAAAAGAGGAGACCTTCGTTTGTTCCTTACGAAAATCGAACCAGATATCAAATATTTAGTCTCGCAGCATCAACCTCAAGGATCTCATTAATCACTAGTAAAGGTAATTTCAATTTACTTTATTGTTTTCTCATTAAACTTTAAAAAGTTAAAAACATTATAAACATGCATAAAGTAGAAATAAAAAGATAAATGTACGTACATTTATTTTTTTTAAAACACCCTCCTTTCTAAAAAAATATTCTGCACTTGTGCGAAAACTGGTGGGCAGTAAGGAAATGTTTCCATCAAGAAAGATGCATTAGTGGGCGGTTGGTAGAAAAAGGTTGACTACTACTGGTTTACACTGTCAAAAAGATATTCTTCACGTCACTCGTGTTGTTTATTAGATTTTTTGTTTATTTTTTGATTAACCAGCTACTCTGCCTCCCACAGTTTTGTTTTGTTTTTGCTTTTGCCGACATGGTAACATCTTTGTCCCAAAAAGTAAAGCAAAAAACAGACAGCAGAACTTGCTATAACATCTTGAGTTACTTTTGAAAATTTTCGGAGAAAAATACAAAAATATCAAACAAAATTTTATCACGAGCTCCAAGTGTAGTAATCCAAAGGATTGCCATTCATGAGCTTTGGTCATTATGTCTCTTCTCTATAAAACTGCAGTTACAGGAAACTAGGTACACTTTGTGATTTATACGTTCATAGAACTGCAGGATTACGATATTGATTTTTTTTTTTTTTTAGTTAGCTTCTTTTATGATCAAAGTACGGTAATTTGATGCTATACTGTAATTCTTGCAGAATAAAAATGGTTTTTAAAAATGTTGATCACCAAGTACACATAAAGGAAAATAAAAATATAAAATTAATAACATCCAACTGCTACTGCTAAGAAAGGAGTTTATTTTAGGACCAGAGCCTATGTTTACACTGCGTAACATAGACACACACACACTTATCAAACATCCGATTAAAAAATAAAGACAGCATAATCTATTATGATAATTCCACAAAAAAAGATTTTCTGTTTTTAAGAGATGTTACAAGCATTATATGGTCCTGGTAAAATCTTTTCACCTTCATTACGGCAGAACAGAAGCATACTGTCAAGACGCAATTTAAAGCCTTGATTTTGAGTTCTAATTCGGTCAAATATTGCCACTACAAAGAACATGTTCCTTAATGTTCTACATTAATGGTATTTCAGGTTACTAACCACACAGTCATGCAGCATTCAAGTGGAACTACATGATTAAAGTATCTCCACTAAAAAGTGGAGAAAAAAGAAAAGAAATGACAATCCAAAAGCAAGCTGTTGGTTATGGTGCCAGGAGTGCTCATGTGCCAATCTATTGTAAGTAGTCAAATCATTTTAGAACAGTGGATTCTCTGGGCACCACACACTGACCCCACCACTATTAAAAGAGAGCCTGAAGTTCCTATTTAATTCCTCCCTACCCCCACTCCCCCCCCCCAACATTGCAACAATTATATGGCAAGGTGCTGTCTAATTCTTCCCTATGGATGAACCACAACTGCAAAGAATACACACATGAACATACACACATATACACTGGTAGACCAAGCAGTCACACAGGAGTCTTAGACCAGACAGACCAATGTGTGCACAGTCTGGATTGACTACAAGAAAGCCTATGACACAATGCCACACACATGGATACTGGAATGACTGGCTCTATACAAGGTCAGCAAGACAATAAGAGCGTTCATCAAGAACTCAATGGGCAAGTGGGAAAACAACTCTAGAAGCCAATTCTAGGATAATAGTGAACATCAAATGTGGCATATACCAAGGTGGTGCCCTATCCTCAATGCTGTTCTGCATAGGCCTTGGTATATGCCACATTTGATGTTCA